GGAGACTGTGTGGCTGCGCTGCCCGTCTTCCTGGCAAGCCCTCCTCCACCTCGCGGCACTCCTCAGCCCCACCCCACCCATGCGCACACACACCCTTCATTCATTCACATACACACGCACACACTTTTCTCTCTCCTTCTCTCCCCACCTCCACCTGCCCCCAGGGCTGCACCAACAACAATGAGGGCTCGTGCACCTGGACCCAGCCCTTCACCAGCGCCCGCGTCCGCACCAAGCTGTCCCCCTTTGGCAGCTGGAAGTACGGGAGGGTGGAGGTGCGGGCGCGCATGCCGCGCGGCGACTTCCTCTGGCCCGCCATCTGGCTGCTGCCCACCGGTAAGCGCTGGCTGGGCTGGGCTGGGCTGGGCTGGGCTGGGCTGGGCTGGGCTGGGCTGGGTTGGGCGGCGCTGGGCTGCGCCGCAGCTGGGCGGCGCCACGCGTGCACACATGCCGCGCGCCAGCAGCAGGGAAATGCAACACCCCAGCCGAAATGCAACACCCCAGCAGCGCAGCTCATCCCCGCCGCCGCCGCCCCACCTCCCTCCGCCTCCCATCCCCACGCCTCCTCTGTCTCCTCCTGCAGACAACGCCTACGGCACCTGGGCTGCCTCGGGCGAGATCGACATCCTCGAGTGCCGTGGCCAGGCGGGGCTGGCAGATGTGGTGGAGGGCACGCTGCACTACGGCGGCCAGTGGCCCGCCAACACGTGGACGGGGTCGGGCCGCGTGCGGCCGTTCCCGGGCCTCGACTACTCCGCCACATTCCACGACTTTGCCCTGGAGTGGACATCCAACCTCACCACCGGCCGCCCCCTCCTCATGCGCTGGCTGGTGGACGGCACCGAGTTCTACCGCCGGCGGCTGGACGTCAGCTTGAAGACGCACGACGCCTCGCCCTACACCCAGGACGGCCAGCCCTGGGACAAGCGCTTCCACCTCATCCTCAACCTCGCGGTGGGGGGCGGCTTCTTCCCGGCGGGCGAATTTGGAGAGTTTGGGCCAAGCCAGTGGGATGCCGCGGCGGCAGGCTGGCAGAAGCCGCGGCTGGAGATCGACCACCTCAAGGTCTGGGCCTGGCCGCCGCCCGGCTGAGCAGCTGGGCTTAAGCAGGACGATGCGAACTAGCGCCCGGGCCCGGCCCACTCGCCGCGCAGCCGAGCAGACTGATGCGCTGGCTCCGCGGCGGGCCCGCTCCCCCGAGCTGCACTGTTACTTGTTTTTTTGTACTAAACACTCTACTTACAGTACTTACTACAGTGTTGCCAATATTGTTGTACCTCACCGTAAATTACTGATCAGGCACCTAGGAGGGTCTTGGTTTTGGAGCGGCGTCGCGGCGGTGGTGGAAAGAACAGGAAAGCAGGCTCCTCTCAACCCCTACCTGCCTGCCATCCCTGAACCTCTGGCATCCGCTGAGGCACAGGTTCAGCAGAGAGGAAGGAGACAAATGGGCACGCCCTGCAGGCTGCCAGCTCAGGTGCGTCAGTGGGCCCTCACCGAACCAAACCCAACTTTGCTTTAGAATAGGGTTTAGAATAGTGTCTAAACCCTCCGAGAGGGCACAGGTTCGATTCCTCCCATGTCGAAACTTTGTGAGGACAAACGCGGCATAGCTGACCGGCTCAGCGCCAATCCAAGCCAATTCCTTCGGGAACGCCTAATAGAATCGCCAAGGCTTCGGCACAGGCCTCCCCGGGACCCATTCACTACTAGTGGGGGGTACTGTGATCTGTGATCTGTGATGTTACAGAGGCAATGCCCATTAATGGGCTGGGGGCACACAAGCCGTGCCCACTAGCTCTGGACTGTATGAAAGCATGCAATACCGCCCGGGCGGCAAAGGGCGGGCTCAGGGAGCGGTCGGGCGCAAAGGGCGGGGAGGGAGGCGAGGGGCGCCTGATGGCCAGCCCAAGGGCGGCAAGCATACCAGTGGGGGGGAGGGGCAGGTCGAGGACCCGCACACCACCACCACCAGAAAGCGGGCCCACCCACCCCGGCACAGTAGCTGGGAGAGCGGCCAGGCGGGCGGGCGGGGGCCGCAAAGGTGAAGGCGGCACGCGGGAAGACCGGGCAAGGGGAGGACGGGGCAAGCGCAAAAGCGCAAGCATCTGCGGGTTACGGGGGGGAGAGTAGGGGCGTGACGACCAGAACGGCAGGCACGGAGTGAGCGAAAAGAGGGGGGGACGGCGGGCG